CTTGATGATCAAAGATGTCTGAAACCCGCATCCATCCATCACCGTTTTGCATTATTATTTAAAATTTTCATTTTGATATTCATGATGTTTTGATTGAAACTAATGATTCTAACATGTTCCTGAGATGAATTAATACAGGTTTGACCCATTGCATGAGTCCCATAATACTAGAACACTCAATTGCCATGATTGTGTCGTTTTGCTTTATTTTAGTTATGTCGTTATACAGGTCGAGTTAGCCAAAAATAACATCCCCATTGGATCAGGAGGGTCGATTTAGGGGGATAGAGTCCTCATTTGGCTCTAACACACGTTATTCTTGCAGGGAAAAAGAAGGTCTAGCTGGAGAAGACGACCGGAGCTAGAGCTCCGACGCTTCTCTGGTGTATTGGTTTTGTTTTTTTATATGTTGTTTTTGTTTTGTTATGATGACAGATTGGAAAAATGACTCAGTTGGTGAAGGACGCGCGCGATGAAGAGCGTGGGTTCGATCCATGCGTCTTCACATTATTTTTTGTTATTTTTCAGATTAACATGCAGGTTCATAATATATTATTCAGCGCTTATTTTCCTAACACCAACAGGTGCTTGGCCTGGTGGTGTGCAGTGATGGTGTGAATCTTGAGGGCGTGGGTTCAACACCCACCCCATGTTATTTTTTACCTTATTTCTTTTCTAATATTTTCCTTCTCTTTTTTCTTAAAATTAACCCTAATAATTAAACCCTAATTATTTTTTAAACAATCAATTAACCTAATTTTTTTCTAATACTAAAAATTAGGTTAAGGGTTTTTAACTAACATTTAATTTTCTTGAATATTAAAATCAATTAGAATTTAGGTTTTTATTAATTAATATCATTTAAATTATTTTCTATAAAATAATCAAAATACTAATACTTAGAATTTTAGGTCTTTCAAACTTTTCTCAAAGTGTTTTCCTATTTCTTTTAATTATCTTCATAGATCAAGTGTATAGAACACACTCTCGATTGTAATGGGGTAGATTTCTCTTCTCGCATTTTTCTAATTATGTATCTGCTCCGAGGATGTAATAGCGTAGGTTTACTTTCTCGCAATTTTTTATACTTATGTATATCTCCCAAAGCCATGTAATCGCTTACCTTTAAATTTCCGCACTTTACTTTCTACACCTTTATTTTCTGTACACTTTATAATTGCTAGTAATTAGGATTGTATGGTAAGACTAATAACAAAATATAGAAAACCTTAATCTCAAGATAAATAACTAAATCAAAACACTCTTCACACTTGCACCTCTAGGGTATCCTCTCTTGTTGCCTTACGATTATTGGTCACGTCCCTCGATAATAGGGATACTTTAGCAAAAGACCCTTTCGAATAAAAGATCATAGTCCCCCGATGACCCTTCGAAGTTGCCTACGAAAATGATCTAGTCCCTCTTATACAAATTGTTAAGTATCCTTACATTTTGCCTTCGATGACCATTCGAAGACCCTACACTTGTCCCTTCACATTCAATAGATAGGGCTACCTACCAACTAAAGGTATGGATAGCACTATCTCCTAATTTCTTGCTCACAACTTTTCTCACAAACAAAACATTTCTCACACTACACTTTCGAACAAATATTTTCAAAAAATACTTTGTACGCATTCTTGAGGACTGATACAAGAATCATTACAAAGTTAGCCTTACATTGGATTTTCAAAATATTTTGAAACAAATCACACACACAAAGCAAGTTTTTTAAAAGTGAGCTAAGCAATTAAGAGCTCGTAGATAACTACGAATGAAAAGGATGCTAACACCTTCCATTTTCATAACTTACCCCCGGAACTCAAAATCTATCAAGGTTTTTCTTATTCTTTTCACCCTTTCCTTATATTGGATAAAAGAAAATTTGGTGGTGACTCTAGCTATCCGCACATTTGGATAAAACCAAAAAAGTCAGTTCTCCCACCATATTACGTGTGTGTTTGAGAAATTTTCAAATATAATTATGGTATTTTCTTGTGCACAAATTATTTGGTTGTTTTAGCCAAAATTTGCTAAAGGGGGAGATTTATATTTCTCTGAAACTATTATTGGCATGAATTTTGGTAAAACTAACTTTGCAGCAACATGTTGAACAAGATGTTTCAACTTGCGGATTCAACATGTCGAGTGTGATATCCTAACTAGAAGTATATAACATCTGGTTTGTTACAGTTTTGTAGTTTGGAAAAATATTTAAACTTACAGTTTCAACATGTCGAATGCAATGTCCTAACTAGAAGAGCAACACATCTGGACTGTTACAGTTTTGCAGTTGGGAAGTAGTTTCAACTTGTTGTTTGAAAATGTCGAATGGGATGTCCTAACCAGAAGTATAGGACATCAGGTATGCTACAACTGACAGTTTGGATTTAATTGTTGTGATTTAATTATTAAATATTCTGGGAATATTTAATAATCCTTTGTGGCGTCCAAGATTGATAAATCAGAGATTTTATATTGTTATTTAAGATATTTAAATATGGAGATATTTTAGGAAAGCTTTGATTTCAGACCTATTTTCTTGGAGAAGTTATTGCAGACTTTGTGCAGTCTATCTGCTACACTTTTGAATCCATAATCCAATTGGGAAAACGTTATAAATAGAAGTGTTTTTAACCTAGTTTTGGTATCAGCGAAGAATTGAAAAGATATAGTTATTAAGGCTGAGTTTGTACCACTCTATAGGAGATTTAGTTGTGTGTTCCACTCGATTGTGAGTTGGACTGATGTTATAGAGTTGTAGTCTCTATTATTGTTCTCCTAGAAGCTTTTAAGCAAGAGGTAGTATTGTTCTTGGAGGAAGCTATTAAGCAACTCTAAGTATTGTTCTTGATCAAAGTTGTGAAGAAAGATCAAGTATGTTGTTCTTAGTCAAGGGGTGTCTTGATTAAGGTGTTTTTCCTCTTTGTTTTGAAGTGTGATCTTCATTTTGGTGATAGGCCATTGATATAGTAACTGGGAGTGGGACTGTTAGACATCATCTGCGTTAAGCTTACTATGTTAGTCTCGAAGCGTTACTAAATCGATTTTTAAACTTGTGTTATTTACCTCCTAGGTTATGGTAAATATCCAAAGTCTACGATCTCTTTTCTAGGTATTGGCGAGTTATCCGCGTCTTCATATCTAGGAAATCTTAATCGCAAATTATACTCTCTATTCAAACTCTGGTAAGATGATACATTATCATCTTTGCCTATTTTTCCAAACTCTTGGGAACACTGTACAGTGTATCCTTATAATCTTTGGTCTAAATTTTAGGGTCTTCCATTATTTAATAACCCTCTAATCCGAATATGTGAAACTTCATATACTCGCACGCTTCAATCGTAGAGTAATTAAATAGGGGCATCTGTCATACCCCAAATATTCCTGCCTCGGTGTTACAGTCAAAATTATTTTCAAAATTAGGTTTTAAAATTCTTTTGGTTCGATTACACTAACATTCTTTGGTTTTTATAAACATTTATTTTTAAACTATTTTGCTTATTTAAAATATGCATAATAATTTATTTGTATTTTTTAAAATAACAAATACTTGTTCGTCTTCATATACTTTCAATTGGATTTTTATTTCAAATAAGCAACATAGTTGTTATACACCAATTTTTTCTCCTAAGATCCCTCGTCACATCATATACATCTCACGCATATCATCGATTCCATGGTTACGGGATTAAAGGGCTCTTTGGCATTAGGGTTTTTCCCTATGGGTTGAGGTTGCTACCTTTCTTAAGCTGGTTTAATTGGTTCTCTCATTATTCTTGTTATGGAACTAAGGTTTTGGGTTATAAGCACCATGGATGCCTTCATAGACAAGATTCCTTAAGGGTTAAATACTCGAGCCTCTTGGGTTAGGGTTTAGACGCTATATTCAAGAATATCCAACGAACACTCAAGGTTTGGAGGATTGTGGTTTTAGTTAAGGTTCATTCAATTAGGGTCGTTTTTGTGGCTATTCTGACCAGATTTCCTTCAACTCCTCGAGCTTGAACCTCATTTGAAGACTTCTTTTAATTTCTTGTGTTACAAACCGAGATCATACGGTTTTCTGTTTAAAAAGCTCGAGAAGCTTTAATCAGGGCATGAAGATCATTTTGAGGCTTATGAATCAAGGCTTTTCTTCTTATAGTTGTGTTTGCCATTTGGTTAAAGTTTGTTGCATTGGTTTTGTTTAACGAAGAAGTGTCATATTGTTTGAGCTATGGATCAAGGCTTCATTTATCTATCCTTCATCAACTAAGGTTTTCTTCTTCAAAGATTACTCCAAGTCATTGCTATTGTATTGATTGTCGATGTCGTGGGCTTGCGAGGTGTACGACATGAATCATGGTACAAGAAATGAAGTTGTGAGTTGCTTGTGATCAAAGAATTATTAGCTCTCTTGATTGGTTGTTGATTACAATATAAGTTTACTTGAAGTTTTAGATTTGAATTGAGGTTTTTATTGAGAATTGAAGTGGGAACATAAATCGTTCAAAGCTATTCATTGGTTTTATTCATCGAAGTCTTCCAAGACCAAAGCTCTTCACTCAGTTCCAATTCAAGTGATATTCATCATTTCAAAGTTTCGTCCATGTGTTTCAAGGTTCATCCAATATAAAATTGTATCATTCAAGGGAAATTAGAAGCTTTTGTTAACATAAAATAGACTTCATGTTCATTACAATTCACACCATGATACACTCATGTTCAAGTGCTACTCGAATTCCAATTTTTTTCACGCGAAAACCATTTAACATTATCATTACACCATTACCAAAACACATTGATACTATTATAAAAATTCATCCATGAAAACCTACACAATCCAAAACCAAATTCCTAAGCCTATACATCTTTAAACTTCTTGGTTTCTTTAACCTCCAACATGTATATTCATTAATCCTTCATGAATCTCAAGATTTTTTCAAACAGCCCCTACATTGCAAACCGAATCTGGCGCAAAACAATCATGCCCTACTGCAACTTTTTCAAACCATATGCAGCCCTGCATTAGTGTGGAATCAGTTCAAGAAATTCAGGAAAAAAATAACAGTTTAGAATTAAACTCAAAACCAAATCAAAGCATCGCCCTTTTTTCTCTATTATTGTCCTACCTCTGCATCGATGTTCGTCGTTGTGTTTCGCGATCTTACAATCCTCTTCTCTTTCAATTCTGTTGCAGACTTTGTTAGTGTTCGTAGCGTTCTTCAAGATCTGAATTCTGCTTAATCTGTCTGTGATTCCGGCGATGCACTGAAGTTGTAGGTTGAGTTTGATTTATGCAATTTGATGGAGTGGAGTACATTGCAGTATCTACATCTAAGCCATATAGGGCGCGGGGTTAGGCCTTTATAGCCTCACGCTGCTTCCTTTCATCCTCATCAAGCTCTTTTTACTTTCGCCATTGGAACCTACATTGTCGAATTTGATGCATTAACTAGAAGCAAGATTTCCGCTCTTGACATTGGTGTGCCTGTTGTACGAATGTCTTACAGTCCAACAAGTGGACACACTGTGATTGCAATCCTCCCAGGTTATACAATAAGATATTATGATTTTAACTTGGAGCAAACTTGTGTGCTGCATTCACCTGAGAAAAGACTGAGCAAATTTCTTCTGATGCAAAAGTTCATATGGCTTTACCTCCACTCCAACATGAAATAGACGGGCTGCACTCAAGAATGAGGGAGAATTATTAACTTAAAAAGAAAGAAATACCGAAAGAATAAAATGCAGAGGAAAATAAATCAAGAGTTAAACAAAAATATAGAAAGGGAATTGTATAACATGCTTCATAGCAAAATGTTATAATAGCTTAGAAGAAACTCAGATTAAATCTCAACCATCAAATTCCATAACAGATTTCCCAAATCAAGGGTTGAGATTCTCTAACCTCTAACTTCCTAACTGAATCTCTAACAAACTTTTTATAAACCATATAATAGAACTATAATAGAAATTCAGGAAGAAAAATCAAGAGAACACGATTCACTCACACACAAAATCAGAGAAAATTAGCAAAAACTCACCTTTCAATTATCCTTTCAATGCTCTCTCCATAACTTTTTTCTGAAAATTATTCAATCTTCAACCTGCTGGACCTTCAAGCTTCTTCATCAATTTTCCCTTCTCTGAACTGCAAGATCCTTCATCAAATTCGCTGCAATTCTTGCTTCATCTTCATCTCTGTTTCAAGCGCTAGAACCTCCATTCATCATCAACTTCAATACTGCATCACATTTTCATCCCACAAATCCGTTTTAACATTACTTCTGCAACTTCGTCAGCATCTTCCATATACTTCATCAACACGACCTTCAACCAGTGTCATCATTAATCATCACACCACACAACAAATTTCAGATTCACACAAAGCCACAACAATACTGAAACAGAGAAAGAAGGGATCTCAAGAACTCATTGGTGTTCGATCTTCTTCGTCATCACCAGTACTGGTTTTTATGTGTTCCTTAGCTTTGATATTCATAAGCACGTGTAGAGTGAGATGAGAGGAAGGTCAGCAAAGCACGACGGAGAAGTCTAATAGAACGACAACGCCGTGTGAGCGCGGTTGGCGGCCACGACGGATTGAATCGAAAATGATGCAATGGAGTCAAAGGAGGAAACGGCTGAAGCTCTTTCCCAGTGGCGGTGTTTAGGTAAGACCGGTGAAAGTGGAGAAAGAGTCACGCCATTGTACACCCAGAGAAGGAAGCGAAAGAGGAAAAGCGTTGTTCGAAGGGACTGAAAGGTCACTCTCTTTTACCCTATTTTCAAGCCAAACACAACATATCCTCTCTTTTTGCAACTTTATTGTAATTAGGTTTTATCTTTAATTCAATATCAATAAGAACAAATTTTGAACCAAAAATGATGAATTGGTGATTGGGCCATGGATGTTAGGCCTGCTATTTCTACACTCTTGTCATGATGCATACACTTCCTGAGGTTTCTCTAATGTTCATTTTTGTGTTTAATTTCAAGCAATTAATTTTGATGTTTCTTTCATGATTTATTTGCTAATTTTTGTGTGGATCTTAATATGTTGATTTCTGACTTAGATATATTTTTTCATGATTTTTTCGTTAGTTTAGGAATGAATTTGGTTAAATGTGGAATTGTGGCTAGAATTGGATTTTTAACATAGTATTGTTGATTCCTTCTCCTTGATCAATTTTATTGGAATTATGAATGATTAATAAGCAGGGACTGATCTTCGAATGAATGGTTGAGTGATTTATTTTGGTTATGCTCGTGAAAATGCTCAAAATAGGCTTTATGTTTCATCGAATGCTCATGAGATTTGCTAGCTCTGTGATAGAATGTTGATGCAACTTTTGTGATGTAGAATGCTTGGAGATTAATTTAACTGATCACTTGTGCAAAGCAGCTTGTGTAGAGTTTCTATTTGCTTGCATGGCTTTGAAGAGGAAACAGACCTTCTCTGTTAGCTCGCGCAAAATATTTTGGATTTCTTTGCTTTGGTTGCGCTTTTTTGCTGACATTACTGTTTGTTTGGTATTATACTGCTTCCAGTTTATATTTCCGCATTTTATTGCTTTCTAGATATCATGAGAAGTAGGAAATAAAGAGTATGCGCTCGAAGTTGCTGTTTAAAGACCTGTAGCAGGCATTCCACACTTGTTTGCTAATTGTGTTTGTGTTTGTTTTCATGGGTTGACGATCGATGATGTCACTCAATTAGAATTGAGATAATGACTTCGATCTTTTGCATGCTCCCCTTAGGATTTTTATTTTCCTTTGTTGATGATCGATGATGTCACTCAATTAGAATTGAGATAGCAACTTCGATCTTTTGCATGCTCCCCTTAGAATTTTTACTTTCCTTTGTTGACGATCGATGTTGTCACTCAATTAGAATTGAGATAACGACTTCGGTCGTTGCATGTTCCCTCAGGGTTGATCGATTAAGATATATTTTTAGCTATACATTAGGATAGTTATCCATGCATGCTAGCATAGAGTAGAGGTTCCCCTTTTCATCCTTGACATAGGGCCATCATTATATGATAACACTAGGTTAGAGATAGGTTAGTCTCCTTTAGATGTTTTCTTCCCATTTTGCATAATTGCATTTAAAACTAAAACTTCTTTTTCTTGGAAAATGAATAAAACATGTTAAACATACAAAAATCTTTTTCATGGTAAAAACACCAACCAATTCATTTCTTTTCGTCATTCGACTTTTCTCTTCTAAGAACATATTGATTCCTTTCCAGTACAGTGCATGAGTCTCTAATGGTCGAGTGGCGGTGGAATGATTGAATTTAACATTGTTCATTAAAAAATACAAACAAACAAAATTTGTGAGCCGAACTACGATGCTCTGATTCCTTAAAAGAGATACGTAGGCATCTGGTCACGGGGCTCAGCCGGGCGAAAATTTGTAAGTATTTTCTTCTTTTTCCCGTGTTTTCTTTGCATGCATTCTCTCTTAGTTTTTATAGCTCTTAAGCATTAGATTGAACACACTCTTTGATTAGAACAACAAGAGTGGATCCCATAGAGAACTACGGACGTGAGAGGTGCTAATACATTTCCCTTGCGTAATCGACTCCCGCACCCAATCTCTCGGTTATACGACCTCGATTTCTCCCCGTCAGGTTTTTCTTCGATGATTTTCCTTTCCCTTCATGTGGGATAAATAAATAGTCGGTGACGACTTCATTAATTTCACCGCTACAATAGCATAATTGGTAAGAAATAAAGCTTGCAAACATAAAGGTCATGGGTTCGAATCTCGCTTGATGCACTTTGAATATTTTTCTGTCTATATGATACTAATTTTATTTCCATTTATATTTAAAAAAATCACAAAAATCCATTTTTTATTATTTAAGTATCATTTTCATACTTTTAATTAATGTGTTTTTATAAAAAATTATTTATTTGATTTTATGCACTTTTTACCAAAATTGAGTGCAAAAATTATAATAAATACCAAAAATATTTCATTTTATGCTTAATTGTTTTTTATTGGTCAATCAGTGTTAATTTGTGTCATACTCATCTTATAATTGATTATCTTGAGGACGAAGGAAAATTTGATTTGTCAATTAACTTTATTTCTTAAATTGTTGACCTAATTATCACTATAAATAGGTCACTTTTTCACGCTATTTTTCATCAACAACTCACTAGAGTTCATCTAAAAGTTGTTTTTCTTCACATCAAAGAACAACAACAAAGAAACTCTGAAGTCTCCATCAACAATTATTTTAGTATTCTGAACAGAACACCTAAAATTTTTTTCACAATTAAAGGGCAAGTTTTCTAACACTATTACGCACAACCTCTACACACATATTTCTATCATCGCTGCCGTCACCTTTAAATATTACTAAAACCCGCTTCGCCGAAGATTTCCCAAAATCACATTAACACTCTACATGTCGTCGACCCAACCGATGTTCCAGCTTTGATTCAGTATGTTTCCTTGTTATTCCATTTGAGTTGAATTAATATTGTTATATTTGGATGCACTATAGTTTAAAATAGATGGAGTTCTCAATATTGTGTGGTTATTCTAGAAGTCGAGGCAGAGAACCAAACAAGAGATATTCTTTGGTTTTATGTTCGTTTGAGGTTTTACCTTATGGTATTTATTTAATTTTTTATTATTAAAAGAATAAATCGCCACGTGTCATTAAGACATTGGCCCAGAAGTTTAAAGCAAAAGAGTGGGGCGGCTGCCCCATTCCCAAAGATGCAGATTTTTCTTTTTTATGTATGTATATTTATCTAGTATTCTTACAATTCCAATTAGGTTTTTTTAGATAAACTAATTAGGATTTAAGCCTTTATGCTTAACCCACCTCTAATTCACGTATACACCCCCTTTTAAACCTAGTGATTTTAATTAGACACCTTCCTCATTTATTTAGGATGATCATTCCATTTTGATATTTAATTAGTTCAGTTTTCTGTAGGTTAATCTTTTTTTTAATCAGTTATTTAAGTTAAATTATCAAAAATACAAAAAATAACATATTTTATATATATATATATATATATATATATATATATATATATATATATATATATATATATATATATATATATATATATATATATATATATATATATATATATATATATATATAAACACAAACAACTTTTTCTCATTTAATTAATTTAATATTTTACAAAGGTATTACTAAATTCCGCTGTT